CAGCGTTCGAGCGAGAAGTGATTCAAAAAGAAGTGGCCGAAATGCTTACGAAAAACGTAATCGAACCATGATCGAGCCCTTGGGCATGTCCCGTGGTGTTAGTAAAGAAAAACTGCTCGTGGCGTTTCTGCGTTGATTATCGCCACCTCAACAAAATTACCAAAAAATACGTGTATCCTCTACCAGGCATTGACGATGCCCTCGATTGCCTCCTTGGCGCCACCTTCTTTTCATCTCTCGACCTCCGATCTGGCTACTGGCAGATTGCTGTAGATGGCATGGACCAGGGAAAAACCACCTTCGTTACCTCTGACGGTCTTTACCAATTCAAGGGCATGCCCTTCGGTCTCTGCAACGCTCCAGCGACCTTCGAGATAATGATGGACACGCTCCTACAAGGATTTGAATGGTCGACACGCTTGTGTTACCTGGACGACGTGATCATTTTCTCACCTACTTTCGCGGCCCACCTTGAACGCCTTTCGACCATTCCATCCATAATGTGGGCAGGCCTGCAGCTCAATTCCTCCAAGTGCCACTTCGGTCTTCGTCAGATTACCGTGTTGGGTCACCTTGTTGACGCTGCAAGCGTACAACCAGACCCGGCGAAAGTACGCGCTGTAGCAAACTTCCCAGTCCCACGCTCTGCCCATGATGGTCGGCAGTTTCGTGGTCCTCTGCTCCTACTTTCGCTGGTTCGTGAAAAACTTTGCGGCACTCGTACGGCCACTCACGAGCCTTCTCAAACAAGACGTTTAATTTTGTTGGGGTCCTCTTCAAGCTGACGCTTTGTCTCAGCAAATCCCCGCTCTAACGACACCTCCTATTCTTGCACATTTCGACCCCCATGCTCCTACAGAAGTGCGAACAGATGCGAGTGGTCAAGGAATTGGTGCAGTTTTGGCGCAAATTCCGCGGGGCAACGACAGTGTAATCGCGTATGCGAGCCGTCTGCTTTCCAAGTCTGAATGAAATTACTCTAAACAGAACGGGAATGTCTCGCCCTTGTCTGGGTGGTTTTCGAATTCTGTCCTTACTTGTATGGCCACCCTTTCCGTGTTATCACAGATCATCACGCGCTGTGTTGGCTTTCTTCTCTGAAGGACCCCAGTGGACGACTTGACCGTTGGGAATTACGGCTACAGGAGTATTCCTACTCGATTTCTTATGAGTCAGGACGTATCCATCTGGACGCCGATTGCTTATTCCGCTACCCTGTTGGCCAGCCCGACGAATCAGACATTGAGCCTAGCCTCGGCGTCATGTTAATGTCCCACTTTCTTCAGATTGGTGATGAACAAGGTCGTGATACTTCCCAGCGACAACTTATTGACCATCTCGAATCTGCTCCGAACGACGCGTCACTTCGCATGTACATCCTCCTAAATGGCACGCTGTACCATCGTAGCGTCCAGCCAGATGGCCCTGAGCTCCTTCTTGTCATGCCGAAACATTTGCGTTCAACCGTGCTGCACGAGCTTCGCGATGAATTAACTGCTGGTCATCTGGGTGCATTTCGGACGTACAAAAGTGTGCGTCGCCGCTTCTTTTGGCGCGGTATCTCCAGGTCCGTTCGCCGTTACGTGTCCTCCTGCGATAAATGCCAACGTAGGAAGCGACCTTATGCATCCCCGGCTGGACTTCTTCAACCGATCTCCATCCCAACCGAACCTTTCTTTCATGTTGGTATAGATCTTCTCGGTCCTTTTCCTGAGTCTAAATCGGACAACAAGTGGGTCGCCGTTGCTGCAGGCTACGTGACTAGGTATGCCATCACTCGAGCGCTCCCCACCAGTACCGCTACTGACGTTGCGGACTTTTTGCTCCACGATGTCGTCCTACACCTAGGCGCTCTTCGCCAATTACTCAGTGATCGCGGCCGCGCATTTTTGTCCCAAGTAATAGACGATCTTCTGCGTTCTTCCTCAACGCAGCACAAGTTGAGCACTTCCCAGCATCCCCCCGAAAAATGGCCTTACCGAATGCCTAAATCGCACCCTCATGGACATGCTCGCGATGTAGGTGTCCTCCGACCACCATGACTGGGACCTGGCGCTGCCTCACGTGACCTTCACGTACAATTCTTCGCGCCATGGCACCACTGGTTATTCACCCTTTTACTTGCTCTATGGTCGTGATCAGACGTTACCACTCGACACCCTACTTCCAACCACTACAACACCGTCAACCGAATATGCACGCGATGTCATTGCTCGTGCCGACCACGCACGTCAGATCGCCTGCTTTAGACTTCCGGCTTCGCAAGCCACCCAAGACCTGCGTCGTGTAATTTTTATGTAACAGTATTAAGGTCATGGTTGTCCCGGCTACTGTACAGATCTCTGTAAAACTCCGCTATTTTAACTATCCTATCCATACTGGTAGTTATTTTGCCTTCACTGTCCCTTAGTGCACACATCCGATTTTTCCCTATCCCAAGTTTCCTCTTCACTGCTTTGACAGTTCCTTTGTTTTTCAGAGCGTGTTCAATTCTCTCCGTGTTACACCTTCTTACATCGGATACCTTACGCTTAATAATCAACTTCAAAAGCTATGACAGTTCTATTTTGTTTGTTGTACTTGAAACTTTCATGCTTTTGACGCTTCTTAATGCGATCCTTTGTTTCTTTGGAAAGCTTGCCAGTGTCCTGTCTAACTAAACTGCCTCCAACTTCCACTGCACACTCCGTAATGATACTCGTCAGATTATTATTCATTCTATCTACGGTAAGGTTGGTTTCCGCAATAAAAGCCAAGTACCTGTTCTGAATCGAGACTCTGTATTCCTGTACTTTCCCTCTCAGTGCTAGCTCATTGATTGGCTTCTTGCGTATCAGTTTGTCGTTCCTTCTTCAGGTCTACGCGAATTAGAGACCGTACCAATCTATGGTCACTGCATCGTACCTTGCCAACCACTCCCACATCCGTCAGGATTCCTGGGTGTGCACTCATTATAAAGCCTATTTCGTTCTTATTTTCGCCATTATGACTCCTCCACGTCCACTTACGGTTTCCTCGTTCTCGGTAGAAGGTATTCAAAATCCGTAAATTATTGCGTCCTGCAAATTCTACTAGTAGCTCTCCTCTGGCATTTCTAGTACCGATGCCATAATCTCCTACTGCCTGGTCTTCAGCATGCTTTTTTCCTACCCTCTCATTAAAGCCTCTCATCAGTATAGAATACTGTGTTTTTAACTTACTCAGTGCTGATGCCACGTCTTCATAGAAGCTTTCCACTGAAGCGTCATCATAGCTGGATGTAGGCGCGTAAGCCTGTATCATCTTCATCTTGTATCTCTTATTGAGTTTAATTACAATACCCAGCACCCTTCCATTATTGTTATAGTATTCCTCTACGTTGCCAACTATGTTTCTGTGAATTAGGAACCCCACTCCCAGTTCTCTTCTGTCAGCCAAGCCCCGCTAGCAAAGAACGTACTCATTCTGTGGCACCGTATAGGCCTCATCTGTCCTCCTAACCTCACTGAGCCTTATTATATCTCATTTAACACCCTCTAGCTTCTCGAATAGTACAGCTAGACTTGCCTCACTAGATAAGGTTCTAGCGTTAAACGTTGTCAAAGTTCAGGTTCCAATGGCGGCCTGTCTGGATCCAGAGATTCTTAGCACCCGCTGCTGCGTTGCAGATCTGACCACCGCCGTGGTCAGTTGCTTCGCAGCTGCTTGTGACTGAGGCCCGTGAGTTAATTGACGTTTGCATGTGGGAGGTAGTGGCCAGATACTGCACCAGGGTGGTCAATTCTTCTCTGGTCAGAAGGACTGCCTCTCTGTGAAACCAAACTGTCACGTGGTCTCTTATGTGTGAATTTCCTGTGAATATTCACCTCTGAATAATCCGAATCAGGGCATGTTTACTCAGCTTTCGCATGACTTTAGGCTTTGCTTGGCTCTAGTAGAAGCAACATTCACGCGATGCTCCAACCACTCTGCGACGCAATTTACTCGAGTTGCCTCCATTTAAAGACGCGGGCGCCATTTTTTAAAGGTGCACCCATTACAACAGCTATGAAACATACATTCACGTGTTACCTCATGGAAGCGTAGAGGACCATTCGCTGGTTCACAAAAAGAACAATCGTAGGCTAGTGGGTGCTTAGCAATTGTACTTGCCGCAGACATTCCAGGATAATCTGAAACGGTTAATTTTACGTGCACATTTGTTCGTTTCCTTACGGCACTGTAGAGGCAAGCCCAGAGAACGGAAACGAGTCTAGCAATGGAGGAAGGCGATGCGCATGAGGTGGCATTACACTATCGCGTTCTACTCTTGAAGAAGAAGCTCGAGCGTTCTCCCATTGTTTTTCCATGCACTGTGTATAAGACAAAACAAACGCAAACTATAATCTGTACAGACTGTATAAATGTGCGACACCAGTGTTTATCACAGCATTACTGCTGATGGAATGGGATACATATTTCCAGAATTTCTGGTTGGCCTGTCATTATCTTCTCAGCACTAGTCTGCTCCTAATCTTTTAGTGAAGAAATTAGTAGTGGGGCTTCATAAATATTTCTAGCAGAGAAGCACAATATGTTTTCGCGCAGGCAGGATGAACGAATTTTTGTTTCGTCTAGGCTTATACCACTTTTCTGCGAAACCAACTGTCTCGAGGTTCCTTATGTGTGGAATCCTAGTAGGCGTACGCACAGAAAACTAAAGGCTTTTCTGGTGATTCTTCAAATTTCTTGCGGAAGGAATTTAGAGAATTGGTTACTATGCTGTTAGTTTTCTATGCGTGTAGCGCCAAATCGCATATGCCCAAATATTTTTTTTTGGTTTTCATGACGAGCTGTGTAGGTAACCTTGTCGCACAAAACATTGTGGTGTAGCGTGGTCACTGCTCTTCATCGGTATTAGCGCTTTCAATCGTTTCGCTGCCAATCCTACTTAAATGTGTACTTTCCATTCACTGCAACATGTATTGTGTTCACGCTTGAGTACGGACTTGTGCTGTGCTGTAAGTTGAGCAAGTGAGAACTGTGGAATCATCACGTGAGGTATATTCATTACGATATGTGGAACGAAGTTCAGTTCTTTTTCTCGCAATCATCGTTCGTCCATGTACCGATTCTCCGCCTCCGATCAAGCACAGCGAATATGGAGAATGTGATAGCAGCCGCCAAATTGATCGCTGCTAGCATCCAATAAAATCCATCGTAGCTGCCTCTTCCATCCCGGAAGGATCCTGGGAGAATCAAAAGAAGGAAGAGTAGTGGACAATGTAAGAACAAAATAGATCGATGGCAGAGCGCACTATGGTTTATGCAAGAAGAGGTGCACAGGGTCTCGCGACCAAATCATTAAAATAAGGTGGTCGCTAGGAACTGCGTCATCTTTAGCGTAATGGCACGGAAGCACAACAAGCTACAAAAGGAAACACCACGATTCCTTACCTATCTGCGAAAAGCAGAGCAACAGTTTCATGATAAGCATTTTGTTCAGGGAAGTATGTCATACAGTAGCTAACGACCACTTTCCCTACATGGTGACTCAGCGGTTATATCGTGTATTAGAGCACAGGGCCGTGTATACCCTGAACACCCAGCAGACGCAGCGGAATATTGGTGGGATGGCAATGCAATTCAAGTCTTGAAGAAGGTTGTAAGTGTATCCACAGTTCATATTGGAACATCAGAAAAATTATTCGCAAAAGGAAGACTGAACAGCATGACCGCTGGCTGACAACTGGTTGCTTCATTCATGTCAAACAGGAAAGCAAAAGGAAAAAAAAAGCAAAAAACATGCGCGCGCAACCTACGCACGTGACAAAAGGCTAAGTTGTAGCATCGTTACGTTTCCTCCAAATACATCAGCTCGCAAACGAGTAATTAATCGACAGTGTGCTAACACAGGTGTCACCATCTTCGCCGATATCAAAGGCTTCCGCTATTTCTTTTATGCAACCTACCATAATCCGAGGGACGTGCATAGACTCAGTGTTTGCAAACTTCCCACTGCAGCGAGTACAAGAACCTCTCTCGCTTCATTTCACGGACAATAAAGCTGTAATATTGAAAGGACTTTGGAGTCTAGCCGCCATGACAACAAAAAAATGAAAAGAACAACAAGAACAAAATGAAAGCCGATTTTTATATATACGTATAACCTTACTTTTTTTTCTAATGATGTAATGAGCTAAGTTTTCACAGAAGAATTACGATTTGCGGATGATCTGCCGTCTCGACCTTCGCCCACTTATCTTCATTCGCTCCGTGCTTATGGCGTGATTTTTCACGCTTTGCTAAAACGACATGGTGCTGCCACCTACCAATAGCTCTGCGTTCTAGAAAAACTTCCGTTTCTTGATATTACTTTCTCTGCGATCTCGTCATGTGTATTTTTGGACGTCGTTTCAACAATGAAAATGCGTCACTGATGCCTTAGTGAACCCTGGCATAAAACACTTTCGTGTTAAAATATGGTATCGCATGGGAAGTCACATTTTCCTGACTTATATTCAAATAGAATATCTGAAAAGGCAGGGCCAGGCAGCGTCGATAATCTCCCTCGCTGGAGCCAGTGCTGTCGCGAGTCGGTCTGCTTGCGAAGGTTGCGAATTTCAATAGTCACTTTTACCGCAATTCCAGTATGCTATGTTGTGAATAATGCTGTGGATTAGAAGGATCTACCATCACGGAGCTTGTCAACGCCGCCTTGCCACGGCGGGGAGTAGATCATTCTTTTTTGCAGAGGTGGAAGAGCAACAAAAGAGGCGTGCATGGCTGGCGATATGAAGGCGACTACCACACAGGTATCATTCTAAGAGCATTTGGTGGCTATTAGAGGGCGGAAAGGGTGGTAGGTGGAGGTTTTTTTAGTGCTTTATCACGCGTCAAACGCTGCATCAAGCATGCAAATCGTTTAATGGCATTATTAAACATGTTGGCACAATTTGCGCAAGAACCTAAATTCATGATGTGCCACCGTTTAGGCATTGCTACAAGTCATGGTGGTTTTGCACAAACGACAGCTGTCCCAGGACTTCATAAATATGCGCGCTCCTATTGCTGACTGGGAATGAAATAAAATTTCTGCGATGTTATTTTTGAGAAAGAAACTGTATTTTCTGATGCGAGAACACTGGAAACTCTGTGTATGTGGTTGCATTCTGTGGGAGGAAACGTATTGCAGCGGACTATCGGGAAAATATTTACAGCATATTGACGGAGCGAATGACGATGAGTGGGGCAAAGCGTCCGTCCGTTCGTCTGTCTGTCTGTTTGCCGGTCCGTCCAGCCGGACAGACAGACAGACAGACAGACAGACAGACAGACAGACAGACAGACAGACAGACAGACAGACAGACAGACAGACAGACAGACAGACAGACAGACAGACAGACAGACAGGCAGGCAGGCAGGCACACAGACAGGCAGGCAGACAGACAGACAGACAGACAGACAGACAGACAGACAGACAGACAGACAGACAGACAGACAGACAGACAGGCGGGCGGGCGGATGGACGCACAGACGGACATATGGTTCTACAGACGGTCGCACAGACAAACGCATACACGCACACACGGACGGATGGATGGATGGACGCACGGATTGACCCACGGATGAACGGATGCCGGGCGGTTTGTGGGGTTTAACGTCCCAAAACCACTATATGATTATGAGAGACGCTGTAGTGGAGGGCTCCGGAAATTTCGACCACCTGGAGTTCTTTAACGTGCACCCAAATCTGAGTACACGGGCCTACAACATTTCCGCCTCCATCGGAAATGCAGCCGCCACAGCCGGGATTTGATCCCGCGACCTGCTAGTCAGCAGCCGAGTACCTTAGCCACTAGACAACCGTGGCGGGGCGACGGATGCCGGGACAGACGCACAGGTGTACGTGCGGACGGATGCGTGGACGGATGGACGCACGAAAGCACGGACGGACTGATGGACGCTTCACCCCGCTCATCTAGCTGAGACACCGTTTTTATTGACATGCAAGGCAATGCGACTGGCTACTACGACGACTACGACGACACGGGACGTATGGCCCACGGCGTAAGGAGCTTTGCCCCTAAAGTGCCGTGGGTATGCATTTATTATAACTGGTTTTCGTTCGTCTATTGGAGCATGCGAACTAAAGTGCTCAACAAACAAAAAAATGAAAATTCATTGCAATCATACCACAAAATCTTATGAATGAGAGAAAATTGTGTTGCAGACATTTGTAAACCAGGCATATGTTGCCTCATCGTGAGTCGCCATGTAGGTTGTATTGGCGTTTTTCGCGTACATCATGCTCATGCATATGATATACGAGTGGTGGACATTTACGGCACTCACCTAGGATTGCAGGGCTCGCCAGACTAAGTGGTATCATTGTAACACCCGTGATGCCAGCGCAGGCCGCCGAACGGTCGACGCCCAGAATCTCAGCAATGAGGACAGTTCTAAAGCACAACAATGTTCCTTTGGAGATTCCGTGGATAAGGGTGAGTGCCGCAACACCCTCGTAGGCGTACACTCGCGTCGTTGCAATAAGCACAGTGGTGACTAAGACAAACGCCAGCACGTAAATTGGAATGCGCAAGCGCGGCCGGATGTCGGCCAGGAATGGCACCGCGACGCGGCCGATGAGGTTGCCAGAAGACGCAAATGAGATAAGTGTCTTAGCGGTATCCAGAGGGATGCCTTTATCGATGGCGTAGTCCACGATTGTCGTGGAAAACTGAACATTACTGTAATCGTCAATGATGATGACCGCAACAATGACGTAGAAAGCTGGCGTGGCGAAGAGTGCCAGGGCGTGTTTTACGGAGCAGCTCTCAGGTAGCGCCGGCTTGCAAATAGGTCGCAACTCTTGAGGTCCTTCTGCCTTCCTGCGATAAAGAAAATTTATTCGTAGGGATTCTGCAGGATGTCCCACTCGTGTCACTTGAAGTGCTTTTAAACTACTTTCTGCAATATTACGTATCAAACTATTCGTCCCAATTATTTACCTACGAGGCTATGTCGCTCACTGTGTTAGAACCTCGGTAATACGCTCATGGTTCGTTCAAACTATGGGCTGCGACAAAGTTTACTGTGGTCCTCGTGTAACCTTATCAGGCTGACTCAAATGTAATGAAGTAGGGCTGTGGGGAACCTATTTAGGCACACGATACTTTATAGGAACTTATAAGCTACCGTGTAATTTGAACAGGTGCTACCTGCACTACCGCGGGCAGCACCTGAACACACGCCAGTCGCTCACGGCTGTGGAGTACCTAGCGTGGACATTTCCACCCAGCTGCCACTTTGTCATGATCTGCCATAAGTAACGCGTGGAAACATCCACGATTGCGCGCGGCTATTTTGGAGGCCATCTGAGCCCTAATATGTAATTTATGCTGTTGACGCCACTTTTTTTTAACTCCCGATGCATTGGTGTGTGGTGCTGCTCTCGAGGCAGTAATGCTGTACTGTGTTCACACCTGCCTGCAATATTGTCGCAATCAGACGCCCTTTTATGGGTGTGTGAAGGCTGAAAGAGGAAGGGCACGATCCTAAAGAAGGAGCAAGGCCTCGCAGTGTCAACATTCACGACTGTTGGCTGGCTTTCCAATTTGCATCGGACCCTCAAATTTTAGGCAAACTTCCCGATAGTGCCAGCATGGCTCTAATGTTCCCGGTGAACACCTTCCTCACCACCGCGACAAGAAAGTAACGAAGGAGAGTGTTTCTAAATATTTCTCTCCTTCATCTATCGGGTGCAAAGTTCCCTTTAGGTTCTTTTTGCCGCAGTACCTCATTGTCATGCAAAAATGCGCATTAAGGGTAAACCTAGCTACTAACTCTGTGGTTGCAGCACACCTGGTTCCACGCACGAACCATATACTTACTAACACAAGCATGATCAAAGACGCCTAAAAATCTTATTTACAGCCACGCAGAGCAGTTCGTGATATTACCACAACCCTGAGAAACAATGAGTGAAAGTGTTTGCTAGCTTTCTTTTGTTGCATACTGATTTTTTATGTTTTCTGGTGATACAAATTTTCGATACTACGAAAACTTTCCCTTGCCCCGCGAGATTCTTATCGCCGAGGTTTCACTGTTGGTTAAATATTGCACCCCAGAGTAATGAAAGCAAGAGGATTTACTATTTCATTATTTACCAAACGTTTCACTTTGGCAAAATAAATGCACAAATTCAATCACACTTTCGCAAGGTCATGAAAAAAAACAGTAATTACGGTATCTTTGTCGTTACAATAGGATCGTCATAAAACCATTGGGTCCACCATTTCAGTTTCATTGGGTGTGACGTGGAAATACATTCGTGCTCTATTTGGGGGTTCAAAAGGCCGGTTGTGCCAACTGCGGCGCATTTCGTGCCTCTCACTCCGCGCAAACTGGGTTGCTCCAATTTTCGATCAGGACACGTTCACCGGGGCCCAGTGGACTAACAGGTCATCTCTATACATGCCCTTGTAAACGCGTCGCTCACGATTTTTTTCACTGTAGGTCTGCGCGAAACTCGGCCATGAGACCGCATCTTCTACAACACCTGAGACTACAGGGTACTTTGCTTTGTGACGAAAGTGTGTCCTCTTACTCCTGCCATCCGGAACGCGTAACGCTCCCAGCCGCAATTTCCAAATGGTTCCATTATAGCTGGCCCGGCGTCATGTGGATCAACAATCTTAGCTAACTTCAGGCTCTCCAGACTTACCAGATAAAGCCTGTGAGGTGCAGAAAACTTTGAGGGGGGAAATATTATAACCGTCCAAGATGTAAAAATCAAGAATCTGCTTTTCATCATCTACTCACCTTAGGCTAATGCACAACAAACATACTACGAAACGTGCCTTGACGTGCCACTGCCACTCACCACCGTCATTTTTTTTTCTCTTCGGGTCATGCGCTCTCTGGTTTTGTTCGCCGCCCAAAGGAACTACAACAACATCATGTGGCATTCGTCCAATGACACCAGAATTTGTGACGTCGCGATGACGTCACGAACTTTGGTGATCTGTGGAGTTATCTTGGCGAGACACGGTGACGTGATCAAGTCACTTTTTTTTTGCAATACTCACCCCCGAAGTCACTGGGATGGTAGCCGCCACCGTTCTAATTCCCCGTTTGAAGACCTGAGGCTCTTGCCTCATTAATAAGGGGCGATCCTGTGTTTGTGCGCAAACATTTCTACCGTCAAGCAAAAGTGGACAGTCCGTCTGAAACACATTGTACCTCCAGTGAAACAAATAAACAACGTATAATTCAGTGTTTTGGCAGCGCAGATCAAATCATATAATCTCGTTGGATTTAAGTGTGACCCGTGACATTTTCAAAGAGGCTTTGCTACTTTACGCGACCGGACCCATCAATCATTGATGAATTTCGCGAACCAAGCGGATCAGGACGCCTTTTTATTGGCATTTTATTTGCGTGTGCAGTCGTGCTAATATGAGTGCAACGCTCAGGCTTTGATTAAAGCGGCCCCAAGCCTAACATAGAAGAAACGTTGAATTGGTTCAGAAAGTAGCACTATGCGAGAGAGTTTATTGCACCAATTGTTTTTATGCAGGCGCCACTTTGCAGCGCTGGCGCATTTCAAATACAGACAGCGTGTTGCAACTGATACTGACCACGACTGTACTTACTTATTTTTCACCACTGTCCGTGATTTTCTCTTTCTGATCTCTTCTACTTTTTCCATCCTGTTATCTTTCTTTCCCCAATCTCGTTTTTTTTTTTCATTCTAAGGAGTTGGCAGAGTTTGTGCCCCTCCAGGTGGCAGTCCTGAGCCTCATTTTTTTTCCTATTTCGTCTATGTCCTGTGTGTTTAATGCATAATATAACAATATTAATAATAAAATGATAATCACGGCAATAATAATAATAATAATAATAATAATACCAAGCCTGCTAAAACTTTTGTCTTTTAAGAATAAATAGACTGATGTACCATCCACATGTTGTTCATATCTGAAACTTAAATAGGCTCAAGTAAAAACGAGCGACGGGAGAGTTACAACCGTACGAAAAAAATCGCCTCTTGAAATGTTTCCCGAGTGTCCGCAATCACCTACTGCGTCTTAGTGCGCATTTTCAACAGAAAAAATGGCAATAATTTAAGATAAGTTCAGGTGGTTAAATCTGCAAAGCTTTTGGCTACACCTGTCAAAGTATTCACCCTTCATTTATGACGTTGGCGCTCCACAAGTCATCCGGTCCCGATTTCCGAATCTCGGCAGGATCCGTTTCCCGCCACTTGCATGCGATGGACATCGGCGAAGGGTTCCCGGCAAGCATGACGATCGGGATGGAGTGCATCATAATCCCGCCGAGCAAAAATAACCCGCCTTGAAAGCCGTATGTGTTCACCAGGGCAGACAGTATCAGCTGTCCAACTATTCCGGCTACGGCCCAGCCAACGCCATAAAAGATTGAAAGAGCCGTGGCCCTGTACTTGTAGAAGTAGAGAAGGATGTAGATGCCCGCAGACGTGGTGAACAGTCCCATTCCGAAGCCTGCGAAAAAGATAGATATTGCCCACAAATATGCGGATGGTAGGGAGTATAGCGTCTAAGATGACCATGTTCTATGAGAATCTCCTCGTGTTTAGAGTTCTAGGGGCTGGGGTGATGGAGCTTCCAAGGAATGATTTGTCATCCATGATTTCTTACCAACACCAACAACGCCAAGGATACCACTACCACAATACATGCTTCACTTGAAAAAGTTCTTGTCGCCGCAAAGGTGAGTCAATTCAGTGCGACGACAACAAGCTTGAGTTTTATACGATGTAAGGCTCCGTTAGCATCTTATCTGGCACAGAGAGAGAAATCACCATTGTGCTCCGACTTCATCGCAAACCAACCAGTGAAAACTGAACGTGCAAGATCTGTGTCCAGTGAAAACTCACATGACCGCACCCTGCCGAGCAGTGCAGAGTTTCCACGCAGCCCCCTCGCTCAACTGTTACCTTCGATCACTGAACTTTCACTGCACCAGGAAAGACAGCTCGCACGTCTCCTCTCAATTTGAGCCAGGAACGCTGGCTGAGCTTGTGCAGTTTCACTCGCGCGTAAGACATACGATGCGTGGGGCTATGCTTCTGGTTTGAACTTTATACCGAACATCACGGTGTTACCAACGGCGATGGTAGAAACACACCCGGACTGTTCACATAACTGCCATCTCAATAAAAAGCACACAATATTGGTGGCGTTGAAATGTTTAGTTTCCAGAATGCAGGCCCTCCCATAGAAAAGATGAGGAGTTTGCATCGAAAGGAACAAGTCTAGCAGACGTGTTTGCGCTGCTGATTTCTCTGTTTTTCTGCGCATATTGCTACCGGTCTCTTAGACTAGCGCAACTGCAGGAAACTGACATGCTGTACACAAGAATCTCGCGCTATGTAGGAGCGGCAAACCACGCGTAACAAAGTGTTTAAAAGCTTGATCTTACCATGAATAGCACCGAAGATTATGCTCATACATGTGATATTAGGGGAAAAAGCCGCAGCAATCAGTGCCACGCTGTTGAGTATGGTGCTAAGCAGAATGATGTGGTAGATTCTCATGCAGCGTTGTAGCGCGAAAATTCCAAATCCTGAAAGAGATGGAATGATAGAGAATTTCTGCTTCCAGAAAAATATACAGTGTACATGTCACAACATTCATGCATATTTTAAAGTTATTAAATTTGACTCATGATTGTTCTTGGGGTCTTTTTGTTTTTGACGCCGTATTGATAAGCTTCTCTTCGGCAGCAGCTGCAGTGGTCTATTTCAAAAGCATGCTGATGTTTTGGAAAAAGAGTTGTTGGACCCGACAAACCTTTCAAACAGCTTGAGTCGGTCCTCCAGTATGAAGTGATAGCGATACCAATAGCCCCCCCCCCCCCCCTCTTCCCTTGCTCAACGTTTTGCTCTAACACGACTCAGAGTGACTACGTTTTGGCCACGTTCATTTTCACATTTTCAAAAGCTCTTGAAGCACGTAAAATAAGTATTGAGAAAGCTGGTCGTCCTCAGAACTCCGTTTACCACCTCGCGATCCAAGCCGCTCCTGGCTACGTTTTGAACTATTCAGTAGCTATCTAAGCTAGCAATCTTCATGCTGCTGCTCATAAAAGTTAGATAACTACGCAATTCAGAATGGCGCCACTGTTCTGCTCAATAAAATTAATTGGCTTATCTGCACATATCAAGCTAGATGACGTTTCATAACTCATGCATTTCCTTTCCTCAATATGGTGGTTTCTTACGTATACGTTAACATGTAACGCAATTGAACTCATCTTCATGCTCACATTTATTTTGCCACAGGGGGAGGGAAGCAGGACACCTATATAAAAAGTGCAAAAATACCGAAACGACGTTTTATGAAAACAAAAGGATAGGAAACACCATAGAAAACTTTTTCTTATTTTAGATTAACCAAGATTGTGTTCTGAAGGAATATCTGTCTCTTCAAACAACGTGAAGAGAGAGAAAAAATGAAGAAAAAGGCGAGGAGGTTAACCAGGGCTGAGCCCCGGTAGGCTACTCTGCCCCAGGAAAGGAGAGAGTGAAAGGAAAGATGTATAGGAAGAAGAAAAATCACTGATTGGGCCGACATGCAACAGTTTCACATCACAAACGATGAAAGAGGCCAGTGTCTTTGAGAAAACGCAACAACGCTTTCATTGCGTTTCGGAATCGGTATGGCAGTGTCATCGTCCAATACTTTCTCGACAGTGAAATCCCTTCTGTCTTGTTGATTTGGAACACTGCGCAGGTGAAGCCTCTCGTTTGTATATGCCCGGAAGTAACATAAAAGGTGTTCAATAGTTTCATCCACGGCGCAGTCAATGCACTCCGTGCTGTCGGCCATCCTAATCTTGAATGCATTGATGAAGGCCACGCCCAGACGCTGACGGCACAACACTGTACCTTCCTCCCTAGAAAGACCAGAGGGTAGCCGCAGTCATAGAGATGCGTCGAGAGAATAGAGTCGATGACGTGCGAACTGTGATGACTGCCACTTCTGGAAGTGTCATGTTCTGTGCCAGCTTACTCAAGTATTTAGCCGCGTCAATCCTAGATATAGGCATGGAAACAGGGTTTGTTTGTACGCGTGCATTTCTGCCTGCTTAATCGATGAGGTCGTTGCTGGAGATACCACAATGACTTGGTATCCACTGGAACACAGCGTTATTTCCTTGTTCGGTCGCATAGTGCAGCATTTCTTGATCTCCCACACCAGTAGTTCGTACGACCCGCGACGAAATGTCAACGAAAGACATTGTACAGCCGCCTTGGAGTCGCTGAATACTGCCCATTGATTAGCTGGTTGCTGCTTGATATAATCGACGGCACCATGCAGAGCAACAATTTCCGAACCAGTCGATGTGCTCACGTGACAGAGTTTGTAAGTGATGTTGATGCGTCGCGATTGGATGACTGTAGCGCCGGTTGAGCTAGTCTGGGTGGTAGAGCCATCCGTGTATACATGGATTCTGTCAGCATAGAAGCTGTGCAAACAGTCCAGAGGATGCTTGCGTCAAAGCCCAGTTATAAAGGACTCTTTATTTCTTCTTCTTGAAACGGAAAGGCACACTTCGGGTTGTCGTGGGCTCCACAAGGTGGACGGTGAACGCACCAAGGGTATAAAACTGGATGGTAGCAAAGTGCGGTGGGAACTCGAGTACCTTGGAGAGCGATGCCTGTGGTCGTTGTTCTGGCAGAAATGTTAAATCACTCGATACTATCCGTGAAACGTGCAGAATATGTGCTTTCAGCACGTCGGTTGTGAGGTAGGTCGTAACCGGATGATGCCGAGTCAATATAACTGTTGGAGCTGGTTGGAGTAGTTCATGGTAGGCCGAGAGAAACACGTGGTACCTGTGCTTGCACGTTCTGAAGTGATCGAATGTTTGACTAACAAGTTTTCGTAAGAATAAGAGAACTGTAGCGCAGTACACCAAGAAAAAGTGCTTGGTATAGCTGTAGCATGGAACTCAATGATGAATCCATCTTTTTCTAGGGATGACTTACAGAACGTGGGCAATAGATACTAGTTTCGCTTTCAAGTGAGCCTCGTGAGGGGTCCAGGAGAGGTCACGGTAAAAAATGACCTAGAAAACGATGGCAACGTTGTAAGAGATGGGCTGGCCATTAATGCTTACCGGGTAACTTGTCATCGCCTTGCGCGTGAAGGCCACCAGTGCCCTTTTTTGTTGAGATTGTTAGACCATGCGTGCGAAGATAGTCAGATGCCTGCTACCCTGCCCTCTGCATCCTTGCTCGAACTTGTAGGCGTGTCAATGCTGAGTTCCCAGGCACAGATTTCATCAGTGTTTATTGAAACACTGACTGTTTCCGGGAGAGCTCCCGCCAGGAGAGCTTCTGCCAAGGATCGGTTAAAACGAACTGGGCTCAAAACCCCGCCTTGCGGGACGCCACGGCACGTGGAGTGATCTGAAGCTGGACCACCTTCAGTATATACAAAAAAAGAATATTCGTGTCAGGTAGCTTCTGATCGATCAAAACATTCGCCCTTTCCGTTCAACTAACAGTATTGTGTCTAATATAGCTTGATGGTAAACGTTGACACATGCACCTCTCACACAAAGAAAGAGCGCAAGTGCTATTCGTTTCCTGAATTTCTGCTGTTCTACTGATGACACCAAATCGATGGCGCTGTCAATCGATCAACTGCCTCGTCAAAATTCCGCCATGAATTCGGGGTAAATGTTGTGCCCTTCAAGGAACCATTACAGGCGCGTCAGAATTATGTGCTCCATCAGTTTCCCAACCCAGCTGGCGAGAGCTACAGGCCGGTAGAATGCGAGCACCAGAGGGGATTTTTCTGCTTTTAGAAGTACAACAAGACGGCTGCGTTTCCATTCTTGAGGCACGACCCCATCTTCCCATGACTGATTAAATAAGTTTAGCAGTTGTCATCTAGCTGCTTGGCCTAAGTGACGCAGAGCCGTATACGTTATTCAATCGGGCCCTGGTGAAAAAGAACGCCTACACAGTGTCAGTGTAGCTTCTAGCTCTTCGATAGAAAATGAAGCATTCATATTTATATCTCGTGGACTGGGGTATTCACATAAAAGCACATTGAAGATTAGGACTGTCCCGTTGGTGATGTTCGCGCAAAAATCCTCTGCAACGTCAGTTTCACGGTGGTTTATACGAAGTGCGAGAGCATTGAAGGGACACCGTTACATCGCGCCTGAGCGAAGACCCTGTAGAGTTCTCCATACATTAGAAAATGGCTTCCGTGGAACTAATGACTCACAAAGGCTTTTCCATCGTTCATCCTGCAACTTGTCTATTCAGCGCTGTATTTTTTTTTCTGGATACGCCTTGCTACTCTGAGATCACGAATCGACCTGGTATGCCTATATCATCTCTCTGCGCGTCTACGTAACGCCCGAAGCCTTTCTAATTTGATGTCAAGCTCCGTGCGCTTCTGTGGTTGTGTGAAGCAGCGCGTACAATTCTGCATAGCATCTGCAATTACTTCTTTTAAACCATACGAGGAATCATTTCTACGCGTGTCCTCCACTTGATCTTCATTGAAGTGTCTAGTCAATATACCGATAGAGGAGAGATGTGCCTATGATCTAGCCAAAGCATACCTAATAATAATATTGCTGCTCTTTAACGTCCCACAACCACGCAATGATTATGAGAGGCTGTTGTGGAGAGCTCCGGAATATTCGACCACCTGGGTTTCATGTAACATTGCACCTAAACCTAAGTGCACTGGACCTGAAGCATATTCGCCTACATCAAAAGTGATGCCGTTATGGCTAGCATTTGACTCCGCGACCAGCGCGTTATCGGTCATGTGACTTAGCCTCTAGAGCAGCATGGTGGGTAGCCAAAGCATATATAAATAATTGGTGGCCGCTATCAAGCTTAATCTAGTTTAACGGTTTAAGCCATTAGGCCCCAATATACAGGCATTAGATTCATTTATACATCCTGAAAGATCCAGCCGCGGTGGGTGGAACTAAAATTTTGCGACGAGTGCACGTTTTCCGGTTTAGTACAACGGCATGTTGCCTGTCATCCTCTTTAATGACTGTATTTGCGGTGAACCTATTTTGTACTGAATAGGGTCCCCCTTAGGAATTAAAGCTGGCGAATATATTTCTATAGTGAAGCAAGAACCGACAGAAACAGACAAAACGCCTGTTCTTGAAGCAGATGGATAGTTCTATAGACTATCCGACTTCTTTCCCCTCTTTGTGCTAGCTTTGCTCGCACTAGTGCTGGGGTGCCATTTTTCCGTTCACTCAGCCACGATGCGGCATCGTGCGTTGCAAGGCAAGCTGCGAAATCTTTCTCGAGTGCCGCATTGACAGCATCGCGTCAATAGGTCTCGGCCCCTGACCGGCTTTATTTGATAAGTGGCGAGACATGATTGGGGGCTGGCTTTTCCAACGCTGTAGCTTGCCTGGATATTCTTCCCACATATCTCGGGAGGGCAGGCATTGACTCTGCGGTGGTGGCTGGGCTTCTGCACACAACGAATTCTCTGGCAGAATTTCCAAACATTCTTTGGGGCGGTACAGGCTGTACCATGCTTGAAAAATTTCGTT